TCCCGGTTCACCCTGCATTCCTGCACTCAGTGCTAATCCGTTGCTTTTAAGGAGCTCTGCTGTGTCCAAGGGCATTCGCACTGCCAACTAAATGGAGCCTCCCTCTCTCTGCAAGCTTTCGCTCATTTGTATATTCATTTATTTATCCAGTCATTCATTCATGAAACTTGCATTAAATACCTGCTCTGTCCCAGGCCCAGTGCTAAGCACTAGAAATCCAAAGGTGAAATAAAACCTAGTCCCTGCTCTCAAGGGACTCACATCCCACTGGGGACAACAGAATCTTAAACCAGCAATTAATGCCATAATAGTTGTATGTGTAGGAACATCAGGAAATCAGAGGGAGTGGCCCAATCCACCTAAGGGTCAGAGGAGGTTCCAAGGAGAATGTGACATTTGAGCAGGATTTTGCAGGATGAACAAGAGTTCACCAAGTAGACAAGACAAGGAAGAGTGTTGCAGAAAGGGAACAGCATATGCAAAGACACATGAGTTCACAGCCTCACACTTTTCACTGGGGATCCAGATTCCACAGGCAATATCCCAAGATTCAAGGCCTTATTTAACAAACAAGCAAAATGCAAACCAAACCATAATTCATGTATGCTTTCTCCTGAGAACTTTAGCATTGGATCCAAACATACAATGAGATTGCTGGAGTCCAAAAGGTTTTTAAGCCAGGGCACAACCAGAAACGTTGGCTCTCTTTGGTGGAGAGGGTGGCTCCAATATTTTGTTCTCTCCCCACAGGGCACTGACAGAGAAACGAAATCTTTTTTATCTGGAAAGTCATTTCCAGACTTATTCACTCCTTATCAAGGGAAGTAACTTATAAAACTTGTTAAGCCATTTATCAGCCAGTCCTCGTTGACTCGGCATAGTGAGTTCCTGAGACGTTCTCTTTTGGAGGTGGAGGTGTAGCTGCGAGAATTTCAAGGAAAACATTCTCAGCAGCGCTCAAGAAACTTGCCAGAGGTTAGTGAAAACATAGGGAGCCCAGAGGACAGGGTGCTGGCTCAGGCAGAGCCCACGCAGAAGAACTTCTGTGGCCGACGGTCCGGAAATGAATCCATCACACATTAGTGCCATAGAGTTTAGTAAATGTCGCTAGCAAATCTCATCACTTTTACAGAAAACAAGCTCCAGTCATGGCAAATCTTAGCACATCCTCACTTTTATTATAAATGGGTGTTTTTTAAATAATTTTTACTGACACTCAGTAACCATGCAAAATCGTGCACAACATTAATATAACCTGTATATCTATACCTGTCTATATCTATCTGTATATCAGCTCATGGTAGAAAACCATAGCTAGGGAGCCTTGCTAACTTACGCATACAAAGTGATCTTGTTTACAGTATTCTGTTGACAGTGCCAATAAATGATAAAGAAATTAACACGTCACAGTGTAACTGATGACCATATGCACAAGTCCATGAACTCAGTCTGTTTCCTGTGTTAATCAGTATTCTTAAATTAAAAACAAAATATTTATAATGGAAACATCAGAGTAAATGTGGCCTTTTTGGTTGGAAATGGTTTTGGTAAGGACTTATTTCACAAGTTCTTATGAAGCTTCTATGATTAAGCACCTCTTAGGGATGTCTTGGGGGAATTCTCTTCCTGCGTTACGTCTGCCTTGGGCTGAGAAGCCTGGTGAGGCCATTCAGTTCATCAGAGTTCATCCAAGACATGCCATGTAATGGGGATGGACAAGGTGTGGTCCTTACCCTCAGCTCACCTTCCAGTGGGGCAAAGGTCACGGCAACCCAGCGTAAGGACCAGGATACAGGAGGATATTGTACATGAACAAAGGATAGGCCCAAGTCAGGGTGGAGGTTAGGCCTCTGAGTTTCAACTTCAAGGTTGAGTGGGAACTGCTCCAGTGACTCAGAGGAGGGGCGGAAGGCATTCCAGACCAAGAGGCACGAAGGCAGGATGAGGCAGGCACTTCTACAGCGTTCAGCATTTACTAGATCACAAAGACAAGGAGAGCAGAAGAGCCTGGAGACCAGGCCAAAGAAACAGGCAGGGCTCGGATCTGGAGGGCCTTCTGTGCCAGTCTGGGCCTTCCATGAACTGATGGAGCCACCAAAGGTTTGGAGCAGGGGGGTAATCCAACATGCATTCTAGAAAGAATGTCCTGATTGTCCACTGTGAACAAGAGAGACTGGATGATCAGTCGGAATCTGTGGCCATCGAGATGACCAGGTGGCCCAACCAGGACAGCGATAATGCGCTGGATGGAGAGGGAGGGAAAAGCACAGAATCCACTACATCCAGGACAGTGACATTCAACACTAGAGGCACTTTGGAGTTGCCCTAAAGAACTTTGTAAATATCCTAATGCTCAGGCCCCACCCCAAACCAATTAAATCACATTCTCTCCCACACGGGTGGAGGTGGTAAGCTGATGACTGATGGGAATCAGCCGGGAGGCAGGTGCAGCGTGGGAAGGCACGGAAGAGATGCTGAGTCAGCACCTGTGGAAATGAGCTGGCTCTTTGACTCTGCTGCTGTCCTGACATAGAACCGCGGGCCGTGGGCTCCTGACTCACCTGCACCCTGCTGTCTCAGTGGCCCTCCATGGCCCTTCTTTTTCTCACCTGGAAAATGTATGGTTTGGACCACGTGATTTCCAAGGTTCCTTCCGGCTGCGACACCGAACAGGTCTATGAGATAACTGACTAGGAAAGCAATGTCTACCATTAAATATGCTTTTAAGAATAATCACATACAGGGCCTCCCTGGTGGCGCAGTGGTTGAGAGTCCGCCTGCCGATGCAGGGGATACGGGTTCGTGCCCCGGTCCGGGAGGATCCCACGTGCCGCGGAGCGGCTGGGCCCGTGAGCCATGGCCGCTGAGCTTGCGCGTCCGGCAACGGGAGAGGCCACGACAGTGAGAGGCCCACATATCGCAAAAA